TAGAAATGCAAACCTATCTAAAGTTCATTATTTAACATTACTTATTCATTTAATTCCATCTTGTGAAGGGAAATTTCTTTCTTTCTGGTATCCTAATACTTTTCAGAAATATAGGTGGGTCTCCCTCACTACAAAGCAAACTAAATTATTTATCAACAGCTTACTGCTTGGTAGAAAATGTCCTTATATTTCCTTTTCCAATAAGTGTGGCCATCGGTTAAAGTAATAATAAAAAAGAAAGAAGTCATCTCTCTCCTTGTTGCATAAAAATAGGTCAAGTAATTTAAGCCAGTCCATTGCAGTTAAAATTCAGACTCTGCCATTGTTCCCTGTTTTGGAGGGGAAAGACAAACCATGCTCATAGGGTTTCACTGGCTAAGGCTTTTGATGTGCTGTTTAGTGTTCTTGCTGAGGTTCACCTCAGCCTGTCTGGGAGCTCAGATTTTGACGATAGTGGTATAATACTGAGCTGGCAAATACCATCTCTAAAGCAACAGGAAATAGTCCCTTTATGCAAGCAAAACAAAACAAAACAGAAAAAAAAAAAAGATGTCAGTGGCTTAGAGCCTACATTCTTGAAGTTCTAAATTTGTTTTTCTGGAGACAATGTTATCTGCCAGGTTTATGTTAAAGGAAATTTTTCCTGACTCAATTAGACAGGGGCATTTATTCTCATTAGAGGGCCTGTGGCCCTTTTCACTAGATTAGAGCCAGCGCCTAGGTCACATTCCAACATGGATAATTGCATTCTGCATTCCTGAATATTTCCCACCACTTCCCTAACCTCACCCCCATCAAACGCAGGCTTCTCCACACTCATTTACAAACCAGTAGTCCAGTTGTGGGGGTTCACATGTTTGCAGCCCCCCCCCCACCTGTCTGACAGGTGAAGGCATTGGTCCAAACCTCCACCTGTCACTTTCCCAAAAGGAAAAATCCCCTAACCAGGGTGCATTTCCAAATGGGAAGCCAATCTCAAATTATGCAACTTGAATCATAGGTTAAAGTCCTTGACAGGTAAAATTCTCTTATTTTTATAAAGAGTGCTTAATCTCCAATCCTTGTTCATTAAAAAAAAAAAGATTGCACAAACACAGAGTATTTGCTCAAGGAAAAAAGCGAAGTCTTCAGCAACGGCAAAAAACAAACAATTTAAAAAAAAAAAAAAAACCCTTCTTTAAAGCGTTCCTTAAGCCTTCTGAGTAAATTCCACAAGGGGGCGGAAACACCTAATGGTCTGGAGCTGCAAAGTTAGTATTTGAAAGCCAGCCACCCATAATAGATTAGTGGATTAATATTTTGCTCTAAAGGATCTGGCCTTTAATGCTGACATCAATTTATAGCCATCCCAGGCGTTTACAGTAGTAAAAGTCACAGAGACCGTAAACTTCACAATAGATGTCAGCCTCCTGGAACCAGTGTTTCCAGCCTGGCACCCCATAAACAGTGGTGATTAGGTAACTGCTCTTCAAAGACCTATCCACGGCTCTAACGTCTTTATCAGCCACAAGGATGCTGCCACCAGGATTTTTATCAAGCACCCACAGACCCACACGATTATATGCGATGCAGACATATTTTTCTGCTCTGTATCCAGGGGGCTGTGCTTATCACTCATCTCATCTTGAAAATCAAGCATGGAGTGTCTATTTGTGAGCAAAGCCTAAAGAACAGAAGCCCTCTTGTACCGCCTTAGAACTTTTTGACAAACAGCCAAGGTACAGAGGTCAAATTTCCCCATATGCTCTGGGCAACCTAGTAGGAAGCAAGACCACAGAAGGGTTTTTTGCAAATGTCTGCCAGGAGCCGGGTGATCTAGGTCACTGTACAGGTTTCATTAATCGGGTTGTTTAAACAAGGGCTTATTTTTCTCTGCCTAAAGCGACCTGCAGATATCACGTAGGATCTGCTCAATTGTTGATCAAGAGAGTTTTAATGAAATAGAGATGGGTGGTGGTGGTGGTGGGGAGGGGGTGCATTTGTGTTTGTACTGAGGACAAATTGTGCCTTTTAGCCAGCTCCTCTGTGTGTGAGTCCTCTGTTCTGGCAGGGATGGGCCCACGTTCTAAGAATAGCTCCTTGAGCTCTACATCTCTCCATACGTGTCCGGCGTGGAGCAGCGGGGGGGAGGAGGGGACGGACGGGGCGGGGGGGGGAACACGACAATGAGGGACTGCAATGACAGAGCAAGTGTTATGGCTTATTTCCCGGCAGAATAAATGATACAGGGTGACGGCGTGACAATTCTTTGCTTTCCTCTTTATAAACAAACAAACAAACAAACAAACAAACAAAAAGCCCACATGTGAAAAAGAGCCAGCATTGCTGTATGAATATGTATGTAAACATTTTTTTTCCCACTTGAGTCTTGAGTCTGTGGGAGGATGGAGGGGGGTAGGGTGGGGAGGGGTGGGAGGGTGGAGGGGGCTGCGGGGTGGGGGTGGAGGGGGGGGAACCTTACTGTGAAAATGCCAAGCTAGGAAGACTTAATGCCTGGTTGAAGATGCAGTATTGTTGACATGTCTTAGGTGAAGAAAAACTCCAGCTTTAACTATTGGAGAAACGGGATTGTTTGAAAATTGGGGCGAGGGAGCTTTGGATAACTTCATAGAACATGATCTTGAATAGGACGATGTCAGCTACAGAGATATTAAAAAAAAAACAACCCAGTGCGGTATGCATCTTAATTTTACCTGCCCGGCTTGGAACTAGAACCCACAGAGGGGAGGCCGTCTGAGTCCCACTCAGTCAGCCTGTGCGCCAGATTCCAGGGCAGCCCGGGGAGCAGAACCTGCCTGCTCTGACTGACTGGGAAGCATGGGAAGTCAGACCTGGGAAGGAATTGCTCTTTTGAAGCACGGTTTGTAGGGTTTTCTCTCTCTGCATAGGTTTCCTTACTCTCTCCATAGGTTAAGTATGAGTCTGTCTCCCCCCCCCCCCCCCTTGGCTGTGGTTATACTGCTCTCAAAAGCATGAAAACACGGCAGGAAAACAAAACCTAATTCCTTCCCCTTCCATCTGGGATGTTTTGACACTTGAACTTCTGCTTGATTATGTAAGGCGGCCCTTGACACCCACTGAATGTGGGGATGGCCTGCTTGTTACAATCATTTTATACTGAGGTGCGGGGCACCTAATGCCCCCGACAGCAGCAGCTCAGAATTCTGGGAAATGGGGCATGCTTGGGAGGGCACATGTTAGGAAGGTTGTAATTTGACCTTTGAATCAACCTCTGAGTGAAATTTAAATAGTATAGGAAGCCTCGAGGTAGGTTCCGCCCCTGCCCCGCCCCCCCACCCTCCACCCCCCTCCCGCTCCACTCAGAACTGTAACCCAGTCAGAAGCTACTTGAGATTAGGTTGGAAACTGTTTGTCTATCCTCAGCACCTTTGCTCAGAAATAAAATTCATCACTAGAAATAAAGGTGGATTTATACTTAATGCCGCCCCCATCAATCACTCAGTATATTATTCTAGTCCACCTCCTTTTAAGAAGTTGAGTCAGAAACGCTTGGTTCCCCCTCCCTCCCACCCGGGGAGAAAGATATGTTTAATATTGCAAGCCTTCCCAGCCAAGGTTCCCTAGAATTGGATGTAGTTAAACCGCACTTTGACAACTTCCCAGCCTTTGATTAAGCCACACCCAGAGGCATGCTACAAATGTAACAATGCAGCATTTGCCAATTACCTTAAATCCTGCTCCCCCTTAAGCTCACCGTGACCTGTTTTTAGTGTCCCGTAACTTATCCTTTAGAAAGCTTACTCTCAATCAATAACAAGTCCACCTTGAGGGCACCCCCCCCCTCCAATGACTGACTTCTAGAAAACAAGCTCTTTCTTAACTTTTTATTGACATTGGCAAATTAAAATAGAATAAATTAACAAGTATTTTTTCAAAAAAATGTTTTGTACAAAAATACTGTCAAAATTTCCTAAAAAGCTTTCAACACAGTAGTATCTTTTCATGTACTGAATATAACTATTAGCACAGTGTCAAAAATGTTGAAGACAGAAACAAAATAAAAATCTGTGAAATGTTTGCCACTGACTGACATTCCACACCCTATTATTGTCTGTACATGTGGGGGAGGGGAGACAGCCAACTTTAAAGTGAACGGTATGACTTTTCCTGATCCGGAACAGTTTGGCCCACATCTGTTTACTCTTCCAGTTTAGCATATTTGAAAACTTAGTCTGTACTCAAATGCATAGTTAAAAAAAAAAAAACGAAGCGAGATGGCAGCTTTGTGCAGTGGTAATATCTGCCCTTCCAAGTTCATGCAGCCAACGAATGCAATTTTTCCTTTCACTCATAAATCTGAATGCAGCGCAGTCATTTGAAACCATCTACAAAATCCACAAGATTAAGCAGTTTGCCAAGATTAATATCTAACAGTTGAGCACTGGAGAAAGTGAGGAAATAAGAAGTAAAAACAAACAACAAAAAAGACCAAGTTAGCTAGATATTTCAACTACATAAGGGAGGTGTAAAAACAAGAACAGGAAAAAAAAAGTGGCAGCAATCTTTTTTTTTTTTAACCAATTTGTACAAGTTTATAGTTTACTTTTTTTTTTTTTCCAGGTTCTCAAACCTTTCAGGATCTGAAAAGTGAGATACTGCGTCTAAGGGAATGGTTTTTTTTTTTTTTTTTTTTTTCTTTTTTTTTTGTTTTGTTTTTTTAATTCACACCGAAGAAGTTGGGGGTGGGGGTTGGGAAGGGTGATTTCTTCTCGCCCGCCGCCGCCGCCGCCGC